TTTGCTTGTATGCTTCTTCTCGAGCAGCTCTTCCTCAGTTCTAATACCATCAAAACCATACAGCTGTACGCATTTCGTGGTTTGCATCGCCTCAAAATTCTCAAACTCGACTCAAACAAGATCTCACAGCTTACTGCGAAGGATTTCAGATCCCCTAAGGCTTTGGAGGTCCTGCTTATTGATAATAACATCATTGAGATTATTGAAGACGGAACATTTCGGGACCAGCGGGAGCTTCGTGAACTGTCACTGGGTAGACTGGAGTATATTTATGAGTTGCATCTAAATAGGATTTTTTTATGGATTTCCACCGAAAATACAGCGACTAAGTATTGATGCACATTATGGAACTACTTTTTACCTGGGACGTACATCACAGCCTGAGGGAATGTTTGTTCTGGAGCTAAATGGAGACAGACTGGATTTTGCGGACTGTAATAATAATGTTTTTACAGCAGTTCAAGAGCTGAAAGTGATTTGCACCCTTTTCATATGCAAGAATGACTTCATGGCACCTTATTTCCCAAACCTGGTGTCTTTTGAAATCTCAGGAGGAGCTGAAAGAGCACCTCTCAGTAACACTAAAATCAGTACTCTGCACCATCTCAAGCGTCCCAAGCTCATCAACCTGAGCTTTTCGAACTATACAGATGCCGGAAGCATCTTTTGAAACCTAACAAAACTCCAGACTCTAGTGCTGGTAAACTGCCATCTGAGCTTCCTGACCGAGAGTATGTTTAAAGACCTGACGTCTCTGCAGCTGTGACAGTCCTCTTGTCCTGACTGATGGTGTGTTTGAAGTTTTGCCAGCACTAACAGCGTTTGTTCTTGACGGAGTGGATTTGTAAAAACGTCTGGATTCTTGACTGAGCAGAGAGCACGGAAAAAGTCAAGGTTATCTACTTGCAGAAGCAGAAATGTGTCTGGCACTATCAGGTACTCAACTTCTTGGCGGCCATGGAGAAGTTGTGTCAGACTGGCGCGATGTACGTTTGCTATGTAGCTACAGGTGGCAGCGTTTGTCTTCTGCTGTCGGCAGCCGTAGGATACCGCTTTGCTCGCTGGCCTTCCGTGGTCCTCTTCTTCCGCCTGAGAGGGTGGCTGGAGAGGAGGTTTGGTAGGCAGTGGCACAAGAGGAGGAGACGAGTCGAGGGGGCTGATGGGGAGATGCAGTATGATGCTTTTCTGTCTTTCTGTAGACAAGATGAGGCCTGGGTCCTGGGGGAGATGGATCCTCGACTGGAGGAACAAGGGAACCCGAGACTTATGTCTGTCTTATGTCTGCACAACAGAGACTTTGAAATGAGGTTTATAAAAGTCAAGTTCTGTTTGATCTTCTGAATTTAAATACAAAAAACAGCATCAGTAGTTGAGGTTGAGTTGTTGATGTAACAGCTTTTTATAAGTAGTATCGGTTATGTTATCCATCAAGATGTAGTCTCACTGCAAAATAATTTCTTGTGAAACATCTTTTAGGTTGGAAAAGATATCATGGACAACATCACCGAGAGTATCTACAGCAGTCAGTGCACGGTTTGTTTGATCAGCCGCAGGTATCTGCGTAGTGACTGGTGCAGTCTGGAGATACGAGTGGCCACACACCGGCAGCTGGAGGATCAGAAACACCGTCTAATCCTCATCTTCCTCGAACACATCTCTCCTTTTGAGCTTTCTGCTTTCCATCGGTAATTACACTCTAAAAAATGCTGGGTTGTTTCAACCCAACTTTGGGTCAAATATGGACTAACCCAACTTTTGGGTTAAAAATGTAATGTAAAAATTTAACCCAACAGCTGGGTTATTTCCATATTTGACCCAAAGTTGGGTTGAAACAACCCAGCATTTTTTAGAGTAGGGGAAGATGGACGATGCCCCCTTTAAGAACAATGTGCATTTACTGTGAAATTGCAGCACATTTATAGATGCGTTTAGGAAGTATCATAAAAATAATTTACATTTGAAATTATATTCAAATTAAAAAAGTTATTTTAATTGAATTAATACTTCACATTGTTGCTGTTTTTACTGTATTTTTGATCAAATAAATGCAGCTTTGCTGGCATATGAGACTTCAAAAACATTAAAAAAAAAAATCTTAGCAACCTCAAACTTTTGAACAATGTTGTATTATATGTGTAAACTTATCCTAGCTGTCATCTGATTTTTTTTTATACATCACATTTATGATGTATATATAATCCTCTGATATGGTTGATGTTGTTAATTTACTAAATCAAATATTGTATTCATTTTCTCATTTTATAAATTGTGTAAATACTTTTATCATTCCTTTCCATAGTTTGGCCAGACTGGTGAGATCGCGTACATATCTGGACTGGCCAGAGGATGAAGGTGACAGAGTGCATTTCTGGGATCGTCTAAGGAGGAACATTGCAGAGGAAGTCACGGTGAGTAGGTTATTTGCACAAGTCTGAATGATGCTGAGGTTAGAAAGATACAAAATGACTTGAATATCACAAACATCTAAACTGATGCTTCAAGAAAGAATCATGTTACAGGTGTTAAACTACAGTTGAAATAATATCTGAATTGTTTTACAGGAAGCTTCTTGAAACTTCGCTAAACTGGTGTGTTCCTGCTTGAACACAAGGACAGTTGTCAAGGAACAATGATAAAAACAAATGTTATTACTCCATTTCTTTTTTTAAAATGCTTGTTACACTTTGAAATGTGATGATTATCAGTAATAATTCATCAGTATGGAGTAACTTGTTGACTCCAAATGTTCATGCTTTTTCAAATTTGTCTCTGTATGATTTTAATCCTAATCATTAAACTTAATAATTAAATTCATAAAATGAATAAATTATACTTATCACAATCCTTTTCAACATTTGCACATAAATTTACATTGTGCTACACAGAATGCATGTTAAACATTTGAATTCATAAACACTCAAGTGTAAAAGCACACAGCCCACTGTTGGTGCTAAAAGTAACTTCAAAATAGAAAACAGTTCCCATTCCCATTATGAATGTTTGTTTATACTTCCATTTTTACACTACCTCTCAAAATGTGTTTAAATTCTCGAAATTAGTTTTGGATACAAGCATACAAAACTGTTGATGTGCTGTCTTACTGCAATGCCTCAGCAAGAAAACTTCTCAGTAATAGTAATAATGATGATGATGATGATGTATAAACTATTGATACCTATTGATACCATGCTGGTGTATGTACAAGCTACATGCCCTGCAAAAATTTTGGTTTTGGATGTAAATCTGGCAATACCTGCATTCAATTACTAGAGGGCGCTCTTACACAGAGAGGCTTGTGTTCTCGTTCTCTCTCTCTCTCTCTCTCTCTCTCATACATAGTTTAAATATACAATAACCATGATTAAAACAACATCAACAGCTGTTTTTGATTAACTGGCACTTTGTCATAAATGTCATGTGACTGATCACTCTTGCAGCTGATAACACAAACAAGATTCAAGCTGTTCAGAGCCTTCCAACAAAAAACAAAAAAAAATATCTGTCGGCAAAACTACTATAAATCAATGAATTTTTGTTAAATATATGTTGCTTGTAAAAAATTTTAAAAAAAATCCTATTTGCATACATAATACCAGCAGGGTAGTATTTTTGTTTTGTTTTGTCAATCACTGTCATGATGTCATCAGAGACTAAAGCTGATTGCAGTACATTTCTAAAACCATCAATCTTTAAAGAAGAGCTTCTCACATCGCACTTGCACAATACGTTTTCTGGCATAGAAACGTCAGAAGTTACGCCTATGAAGTTGAGCAACCTTCTTTACTACCTTGAAAACTGGGAGAAAATATTAACTAAACAATTGCCTAATAAAAGATAAATATACGATTACATAAAAGTTTGCCATTGAAATATACTTACAGGTTATGTTGTATAATTATTATCACTATTATTAAATTTTTGAAAGTACAATGCGATACAGGAATTAGAGGAAGAATTAGGATTTAGGCTCGGATTGTAGGTGTGTCCTGTTTGACAACGTGTGCTAATCATGGTTTTAACAGTGTTTGCCTGATACACTGTGCTAGATTTTAAATCCAGAAGAATATTTTATACCTGTCAAGACTCATCTCGTCCCAAAATACTATACCCATAGTGGCAACCCATGTTTTTAAATTGCAAGATTTTGGTAGATTCAGCCAGTAGAGGGCCTCAACAGAAATATTTACATTAAATTAAAATGCAATGTGTGTGTATATATACTGTATATATATATATATATATATATATATATATAATTTTATTTGACCTATTTAATGTTTATTTTATAGTTTTGACTTTAAAAACTGTTGAACTTTTGCTTTGTGAGTAAAGTTTTAATGACACTCACAGCCAGAAAGCCTGTTGTATTGTCTGGCAGTAATTATAATGGCAAACAATGCTACTCAAAGGCAAACATTAATGTTGCATAGTATCAACCAAACACAGAGACTGTAGGCTTAGCGAACAGGGTGGAGGAGAATCACTGGACTGTGAGGGTTTTGTCTTGGTAATTGGAAAGCACATGTTCCTGATAATTGTGTTCTGGTATGCTGTGCGCCACGCAGCAGACAGCTTTCTCGCTCACATAGCTGCATTCTTTCTCTCTCCCTCCCTCACGTATGCACAAACATAATACTGCTTAATACTGCAGAAAGAAAGCTATATAGTAAAGAAGACTTCTTAAACTTATATTTTGATGAATGTGGCAAAGCATGTTGGCTGGAAACTTGGAAAAATGTATCTGACTAAGCCCTCAAGGTGTGGCTGGATGATGATCTCACCATGAGTCTCACTAAGCCTTTGTGCAACAGTCAAATACATGCTCCTACTTGTGATAGACACGCTCACTCACAGGTCATTCAGACACGGGCCATGCAGTTGGCACAGAACACACTGCAGTAAATCAGAAAATGGCTGTAGATAGTTAGAGAAAAAAAGTTTAAGTGATGTTATTCACTTCCTAAACCTCTTCTCACCTCTCACCTCATTTTCCAGCGTGGTTATGACAATACACTTTCAGGGGAGTTATGTCCACACAACACCCCTCTTGAGTAATATATCTTGTTTTCCCCACCCATAAAGTTCTGGGTATACGCCCAGTGATTTGATGGGGGAAAAAAAGCTACTTGGGAAGATTGGAATTCGCAGAAGAGGCATTTTTATAGGCATTGTACTGGCTTAAGTTAGAAGAGGCAAGAATCAGCAGAAGAAAGGTTTCGTTACAAAACTAGGTAAGCATTCCAATTTGATCCTAAGAGGTTTGAAGGACAAACTCTATTGTATATTTGATGAGATTTTGTCTGTTTAGAATAAAATAAGATGTTTTCTTCTGGGTAGCCTATTAGCATAACAATTTTAACTAGGGGTTTCTGTGTTTAGGATATTCTTCATTTATTTAACTTGTTTTGATATCCCTGCTGAAAAAAAGGCGTTTTCTAGTTTTAGTTGGTTTCAACCTGTCCTGTTTGCTAGTTTTAAGGAAGTTTAGAGCGCTTTTTCAGCTGGTCAAACTGGTCTTTGGTTTTAGAGTGGCTTTTGGAGACCATTTTAAATTAGCTTGAACTGTGGAACTTTGGCATCAAGTTAACAGGGTTCTATAAATAAGCTTTCGTGGCCAATGCAAATGGGCCACTTTCCGTTTAATCCTCCCTACTCTATGTGTCAATATTTCAGACTCAGTCCTTACGCGCGAGCGTAGGCTTGTCCGGTGACTTCAAGTAGCCGATCCGATTCCCTATAGAGGTAACGCAAGCCCTTCTCCCTTTACACCAAAGAAGAAATCAGAAACCTGGTATTTATTAATTCAGAGCGTCTTCTCAGAGCGTACGCGCGCTTCTTCTGCCGCAAATCCTCCGCTTGAGGTGAATGGATTCGCTGCTTAATATGCGCCGTTTGCTGTGATAAGCCCTGCAGTCGACCTTACGGGAGTTTGGGGGAAATGCACTCGATCCTTAACAGGACGAAGCACGACCTCATTGTTTCAGCGGCGACACGGCCACCAGAACGGCGTTAATTATGAATAGAGAGATAAGACAGCAATATTGGGAGCTGTCTGATAACCTAGAGAGCTCGAGACTACTTGTTCACCGTTACCTTCAAGTGCTGACAGCCTGGTACAAGCTGAGGAAATGATTCACACTTCATGGAGAGACAGAGAACAAGCTTCTTGTTCCACGATTACATACATACACTGGAAGAACGAACACCGCCTGAAACTATTCTTAAAGGGACAGTCCACTCCTAAAATTCAATTGCGTCATCATTTACTCGCCCTCATGGTGTTCCAAATGTGACTCTGTAATCATTCACTTCATTGTATAGAAAAAGAAGATTATTGATATTACATATTAATATTACAATGTATAAATTCTCCAAAATGAGTAATGAGTCCTACAATTAGTACTTTACACCTATGCATATATTTATTAAAAAAAAAAAAGTTAAAGAATACGTGTCCGCTCAGTTATTTTAGGAATCAGATCATTCAGTCATGTTAGGGCAATGAGTTAACTGTGAGAGCTGTAACTATGATCTTGTGGGAACAAGAACATCTTAAAGACATAAGAGCCATGAACCACCTGTCCGCACAAGTGCAACAGTCTAGTGTTTGAGAGCTGAACATGAGAAATGTGAACAAAGCCTTATTCATTGAGTCACTTTCTCATCCTCATTCTTTACATTTTCATCCACTGATAGTTACAAGTTTTTTCAGTAACATCAGGAAACAAGGGCAAACCACAAGTAGCCTGGAGGGACATCTAGAGGAGCAAAAATGGAATGCAGTTCATTGAAGAAACTGTGAGGAGAGCACACTAATAAGAGATGTGATTTTGCTACTATTACATTTTTATTTCCCCATTGATCAGAAAAATCATCCAGTTGATCTTGTTTAAGGGAGACACTGTAGGTTTTATTCACAGTCACCACAGAGCACTTTCTTACTGGGGAAGATACTTTGAAAGTATAGCTTGCCAAGCTAAAAGCTTAATAATTTGAAGTACACTACAGTCAAGCTACTGTTTTAAAAATGTAACTGTTTTGAACTGCAAACAGTTAAGGGGGAAATATATATAAAAAAAAATAATAATAAAAAAAAACAATTTGCCACGTTAACTCTTTGCAGTACATTTTCAAAACAGTAGACTGCAGTGTAGCTACTTCAAATTACTGAAATAGGCTCCAAAGATTATATACAGTGGGTATAGTAAAGAATCAGCCCCCTTAAAAATAATAACATTTGGTGGCTTTGCATCCTGAAATGAAGACGAACACAGTTTTTGTTTTATCCAGCTGCATTTACTCAGTGCAACTTATAACATCCAAGTGAAAGATATAACAC